GCGGGATTTCCCGCGATTCTCGTACGAGAATCGTACAGTGTATGGGCACCTTAACAGGGGAAGACTACCCTGTGGATGAACAGAGACTTTTTGTGTTTGCTCTTCATAAACTGCGTTTTACTTGCATTTCTGGACTACAGCGGAGTGTCCTTGTTACAGTGTTTAATAAATGATATGTTTTATACATAATTATATAGTTGCAGGATTGCATTTGTGGTGGGATCTCCCTCAATGGGAAAATGTGCCAATTCCACTACAGATAGAAATGGGTAATAACACACTTGCCTGCAGTGTAGTAAAAAAAGGAAAAGAAACAACCAATGAGAGAAGCAAAGATATAGTAAAATCAATGTATAAAAATATCCCTTGTGTACCTAAACACTATAAACAAAGTGGAATGCGGGGTTACAATGTGGGTACTACCTTCTCTCCATTCATGTCCTTACTGTTGATGACAGGAGTCAGCTGTCTATTTATCTCTAGTATGACACTCTTGTTGACTCCTAGTCAATATCAAATAGCAGTGATACAAGATAAGAGGAGCTGTGGGGGAAGCAATGTACACTCTGGACACACATGGTAAACAGTAAAGAGGAGAGCACGTCTGAAACAAATGCCCAGCGTCTGTAGGAAGTCCTTACCGATATGTCAATTCCACTGACAAAAAGAGAGAAAGAACATTTCTGATTGGCTTATAGGAAATGAAATTCCAGCCTCGCACTTCAAAAGATAGCTTGTAGACCTAATTGCTGCAATGGATTAAAAGATCGTTGTGTCAGGGCACCGTGCCTGGAACACTTTGTATTGCTATATCTGCACCTTTCTGAATGCAAAACACGTTGCTGTGTTTTGCATCATAGCCATCGCTGTCTACAGGAATCCATCATTAGCTGAGAGGCAAAGTACGGCTAAATCTAGCGGGGCCTCCAGTGTTACAATCAGTGTCTGCATGTTAAAGAGACCCTGTCACCAACTTAAAAAAAATTGCAGGGAAAAGCATAAAATATCAAGTATTTTAAATACTTTCTTGCGGCCTTTTTCCTTACCGTCATTTTTTTATATTGACTTACAGTCTGTAGGTAACCGGGCTAGGGGTAGGGAACTGACACTCCAGGGAGTGTCAATTCACTGGCAAAGCCCCCTCCCTCCTTGTATGATATGGCCTGCTCTTCTTCTGGGAGTGTCTAATTACTTTCTGTGCTGGCCCAGCTCCTCCACCACTCCCCTTTTATGTAACTGCGAAGGGAAATTAGCGTGTCACTTGAGTGACAGCTCTGAGACTGATGAGGCTGCTGACATCACATCCAAGAGCAGCCATAAGCTCATCTCACACACACACGGTACAATCTGACTTTACAATCTCCTTTAGATCTAGTAACAGCTATGTAGTGCAATGACCTGCCTGGAAACAAATTGATAGGCTGCACTCCTATTTAATCATCCTAAAGTATATTCAATCAGATCCTGATACATAAGCAGTCCCTGGGCTCTCTTACTGACACGTTTCATTCGGTATGTGCTTAATTGTGGATCTGATTTAATATACTTGACAGTTATTGAATATGGGTGTGGCCCTTTCCTCTGTGTTATATTGATGTGCGGCTGATCCGAGCTGGGTTCCAGCACTCATGATGGAGTGGCTATGACTAGTCACTGCTGCTCTCTCTCCTTGTGCAGGGTGACTGGTCTTGTATCCGCCCCCTCCTGTAGTGTTCTATCGGCATCCTGTAGTGAGTATAGCCGGAAGGGTCCCTCCCACAGCTCTACTTTCTGTATGCGCTATGTACATCACAGTGATGTCATTGCTACTTCTAAAAGGAATTGCTTAGGGGGCATGTAAGCTGCACATAACCCCCTCCAATTATCCACACGTCCTTTATGGTTCATTGGGGTCCCATGACTTTGGGCCTGGTCACTTCTATCCGACTTTGTGGAATGTGAGATCGCACTCACAAAGTGACATTTCAGGACCGATCAGATGTTCCAGGGCAGATCGGTTCTCCTGCACATACCATCTGCGATGCCGATCTGCCCTGGAACAGCTGAGAAAGCGTTGGGATTCTTCACCTTTTGCCGGTCACATATTCCACCGCCGAAAAAGTGGGCGGGATTATGTTAAAATGTGTGACCACGTGACCGGTCACACATTCCAACCCAGTCACAATGTTTGATAGAACACCGGCATTCAGCAATGTGCCTGTGTACCCGATCCAATCCTGTAGAAGAAGCAGCATTGTGGAAGCTTTACACCCCGGCACTGGCTGTGTCCACATGTAGTCCTCTAAAGCTGGCCATACACCCATAAATTATTTGCAGATTTTCTATGGTCAGATGAACAGATTCCTCCATCTACGCTAAACTGTGTGGATGGAGGAATCTCCCACTGGGCCAAGCTTCAGGATCTTGCTAGTCGGCCCCACTGGCTCTCAAAATACCTATCTGATTGGATGCAGGCATTGCTCAGGTGTTTTGACAGTGCCAACTAGCAAGATACTGAGGCATGGACAGCTTGGTCTACACAATTTAGTGTAGATGGAGGAATCTGTTGCACTTTTTCCATCTGACCATACAAAATCTGCAGATAATCTACAAGTGTATGACCAGCTTAAGAGAATGTGCTATGCTAAACATACATGGAGACCATGGATGAGTAGCGTAGCCACCTTCAACAAAGGAATGAGAAAGGACACTTGTTTGAAAAAAAGTTTGTTTTTTTTTTGAGAAAAGCAACTTATTCAAATTTTTATTATGTGGGATTAGTTGCACTTTAGGAGGGCATTTCCATTCATTTTGGGAGATTTACACTTCCTGGTGCCTTTACAGAATAGAAAGTGGCAAATCTTTCCATTGGGTCACAGCTGGCAATTTAATACTGCACCTTATTTATGTATCACTCGGGTGTAGATCCTCACATCATCTCTGAATTGGTGCTGACACTGTCCTTCCTTCTGGAGGGTGGCTACTTTTGTTCCCCATGGTCCCTGTGTCTGTTGTAAAGTAGTCACCGCTCCAAGCTCATGCTCACAGTGGACTACAATCCCGACATCCCAACCTGCAAAACCTTATTTCAGGGAGGTGCCCTTTCTGTTTTTTGGTGTTTTTTTTTTTTACAGCTGCCGTCGTCAGAATATAAAAGAAATAATAATGAAAATATATATTAGGGATGCACAGATACTTTTCGAGTACCAGTGCCGATACTTGGCATTTTCACGAGAACTACCAGGGTTGCAGCGGTTGCAGCTGGGACCTGGCTCTGGCACTCCACCACTGTCCTGAAATCATTAGTCTGTATTGTTTTAGAAAAACTGTCACATGACAATAAACAAAAATGTATCAGTACTCGTACTTGTAAGTACTCGGCAAGTACCAGTACTCGTACTCGCAAAACTGGTATCTGTGCATCCCTTTATTTATAAAAACAAAATCGTACATTAAAACAGAGATGTACAAATCCCGGGAGCTCCGTGTGCTCCTTACAAATGACAGCTGCCTCCTAACTTTCGAACTTTTCTTTAGTGTAGTTTTGGAGCTCAAAAGTATCAGTACATGTACTCGTACTTGTACCGAGTACTGTACTTGGTATCTGTGCAACCCTAATATATATATATATATACACACACATACATACATACATACATACAGAGTAAAATAAAATCCATATACCAATAATACAATAATATTATATATATATTTATATATACATCAGATTTGTGAATTGATGTTCAAGTATCTGTCAGTGTAAAGGTCACAATTTATTAGACAGCCCAAGACCTTTTTTAAAAAACCGCTGAGGAGTAAAGTCCCTGATACACAGTTGACTAGTTGCTATGGGCAGCAAATGAAATAAATGTTCTCTATAACTAGACAACCAGGACATATAATTGATTCTATATTATCCACAAAGGGTTAACAGCACTCTCTCAACCCTGCAGCAGTGCCTGTACCTGCTCTCAATAGTAGTCTATGTCCGCCCTCTCTGTGCAGCAAGTAGCTTCTTCCTTCTGAGAGCCAAGCCTCGTTCTGAGGCTACTCTAGAGATCACATGACCTTCCTCCAGGAGGCAAGCCTCACTCTGAAACTTTACCCACTGATATCTTACCGGAAAGGTTTACTCAGAGTAAACCTTTCAGGGAGAAAATGCCTCTCTCGCGGACATCAGGGAGCTGCTGTCCAAAAGAGGGAGACTCCCTGAACATCAGGGAGACTTGAGATCCCTGACAATCTCACGTTTAGTTCACTAATTTGTATTGAGATTGTAGTCGATTTCGGGGGGAAGGACAGTGTCAGCACCAATCCAGAGATGATTTGAGGATCTACAGCCGAGTGATACACAAATAAGATACATTTCTGTTAATAGTTAAGGTACTTGAATTTGTTTTTAAAATGTAACTCCTGAGTTTATTGTCACTTTAATCCTGACGTGAATTGGGGAAGCCTCTGCACTGTATTTGTGAGGTAAATGTCCATTTGCTCATCCACAAAGAAATATACATAAATTCAAAATAGTTGTTAAGGCACTCTGAGGAGGCCCAGTACTACACAGTGTGTACCATGCAGTTCTGAGGAGGCCCAGTACCACACAGTGTGTACCATGCATCTCTGAGGAGGCCCAGTACTACACAGTGTGTACCATGCAGCTCTGAGGAGGCCCAGTACCACACAGTGTGTACCATGCAGCTCTGAGGAGGCCCAGTACCACACAGTGTGTACCATTCAGCTCTGAGGAGGCCCAGTACTACACAGTGTGTACCATGCAGCTCTGAGGAGGCCCAGTACTACACAGTGTGTACCATGCAGCTCTGAGGAGGCCCAGTACTACACAGTGTGTACCATGCTGCTCTGAAGAGGCCCTGTACCATGCAGCTCTGAGGAGACCCTGTACCATGCAGCTCTGAGGAGACCCTGTACCATGCAATTTGTACTATTATGCAGCTCTGAGGAGGCCATGTACCATGCAGCTCTCAGCCAGCCCTGACCATTCAGTGTGTAGCAGGCAGATCTATAGACAGAGGCAGGGCTGGAAGTGACGACATTCCGGGGCGGGCTGAGCGGTGTGTTGTGTGCGGGTGTGGGAAGTGATCGGGGAATCCCATTGAAGAGCGGAGGGCGCCCGGTACCCGGGGGAAGAGGCAGCGCCATGTCCATGGAGGATCCGTTCTTCGTGGTGAAGGGGTGAGGAACGGATCTGTGTGTCCGTACAGGGGACGGGTGTTGTGGGTGTCATAGAACGGGTGAGGGGGCTGTGTATGTATGTATGTGAATGAAGGCTGTCTACTGTATAGGATGGAGCGGTGTCTCCGGGCTCTTTATTCTGCACTGAAATGGGCCCTAATATCTGAATGGGCCCCAGGTAAGAACCTTCACCAGCAGGGCCATAGACCTCTATGTGCAAGAACACTCACTTTCTTTTCTTTGACAATTGTTTCATTAACATACATGCTCAGATTAGTATTAGATGTTAGTAAACGTGGAATGAGGAGTACGCAGCCGGACGCCAACAACTTTATCTTAGGGGAGCAAATGGCAGAAAAAAATACCAGTTGAAAGTTTTCTCCCAAAATGGTAAGCGGTGGAAAACCAGCTCTTCCCATAGACACCGGGGTCATTGTCCAAAATGGGCCAGACCGAAGGATGACCATCTCAGACCGATAAGTACTTGTAGGGCTCATTCACATAGCTGCAGAAGGCCGTACACCGCCATGATTCCTGTGCATCTAGCTGCAGCGCATACAAATCGCTGACAGGCTGACAAATAACATGGCTGTACACAAGTCCGAGCCGCTTTAAATGTGTGTGTATATGTATGTGTATATGTTGCCCAGTAGCCCTTCGGACACCAGTTCCCCCGCCCAGGAGCCCTTCGGCACCAGCTCCCCCGCCCAGGAGCCCTTCGGCACCAGCTCCCGCGTCCAGGAGCCCTTCGGCACCAGCTCCCGCGTCCAGGAGCCCTTCGGCACCAGCTCCCGCGTCCAGGAGCCCTTCGGCACCAGCTCCCGCGTCCAGGAGCCCTTCGGCACCAGCTCCCGCGTCCAGGAGCCCTTCGGCATGAGTGGACACAATTGGACCTAATCTTCTCCGGTTCTGTGCTTGGGCAGGTTAGCGGACACACATATGTGTACCGTATAGTGCCCCAGACCACCACCACCTCTTTCGAGCAGGCCAAGGCACTGTATGGCGCGATCACACTAGTCAAACATGCTTGGGCATGGTACATACACCCTTACCGCTGTATGTTACAATCTTCTTGTGTCTTTCAGTCATATGATGGCGATGCTTTATTAGCACAACACAAAATGTTATTTCAGCAAGTTGGAGCCCCCAACACATTTTTCTATCGCTGTCAGACAATTTTTTACATCAAACTTTTCCAAACATCTGGATCGGAAGGTCACGTTCCCGTCGAATGACCCCCCTAGGTCTCCATACATCATCTGAAATCAGAAGTCTATGGGACTCTGCCTAGAAAAATCATTGCACTAAAGGAGGAATGATCTCTCTGCATGTAACATAGTGTTATTGTATTCTGCGTATACACACGTGTTGAAGTCCGAGACCCTCAATTGGAGCATTCTGCATTGTAATAAAACTTTTCAATACATTTTTTTTTATTGAAGGGCTCCCGGACGGGGGCACTCTTTCCGAAGGGCTCCTGGACGGGGGCGGTCTTTCTGAAGGGCTCCTGGACGGGGGCGGTCTTTCTGAAGGGCTCCTGGACGGGGGCGGTCTTTCTGAAGGGCTCCTGGACGGGGGCGCTCTTTCCGAAGGGCTCCTGAATGTGGGCGCTCTTTCTGAAGGGCTCCCGGACGGGGGCGCTCTTGCCAAAGGGCTCCCGGACGGGGGCGCTCTTGCCGAAGGGCTGTCATCATTACTCAATGAGTCAGTATCGGGAACCAGCATGCACTTTATTCTGGCATCAGTCGGTGCCCGCAATACCTGAACAATGGTAGATGCCTATTGGCCAAGCAGTGCTTACAGCCAATGATTTTCCAGCATGTCCCTTCAGTAAAAGTCGATCTAATGTTCGAGATCTGTTGCCCTTAGAGCCATCCACAGACCAAATTCACTCTTATGTGTACCCAGCTTTACACTTCTAGAAAACTGGGAATTATTATTATTATTATAATACAGGATTTATATAGCGCCAATAGTTTGTGCAGCGCTTTATAAGGAAGACATTACAATCACAATACAATTCAAGACAAGATGGTAAGGAGGGCCCTGCCCCTGAGGGCTTACAATCTAAAAATGTGCGTCTAGTGATGTACAAGTCCAGACCCTGTACCTAAGGAAAAAGGGTGGTGCATGGATAGAATTATGTAGTGCTTCGGGCCCATTCACACCATATGTGTTGCCCAAAGGTGCCCAGCGCAGTCCTTACCCATAGACAAGGCAATTTATCTTAGTGTGTCCTGAAAAAAAGTAGGACATGCTGCATTTCTATGCACTGCAGCATATTATGGCGCTCGTCACTATGTCGCACTTCGATGTATAATAATACGTGAAATGTAATTTTGTGACATTTCAATAAGAAAAAAAGGTAATCTATGCGATGCTTTGTAACAATGCATTTCACCGTCCCTTCACAGAGCACACACAAGCATCTGCGCATCATACAGAGTATAACATGCTGCTGGTGTGAATGGGCCCCAGGGATTTACACTACAAAGGGGATTTTCTTGTGATTGGGAGTTTTGTCCAGAGGACAGGCACTAGCCCCAGGGGGCAAAGAGATTCCCCAATATTTAGCAAAGGCCCCTGTAAGAAAGGAGAATCCCTGAGCAAGCAGCAGTATCAAAAAGTAAAGGGGTGGCCTTCTGATCACCCCATGTGCTAAGAGGACCGAGTGAGGGCCCATTGACATCTGTGTGATGCGTTATAATGCATTCCTTTCCCCCTGGGCTTTGTGTGCCTGTCTTCTGCATGCACTACTTTTTTTTTTTTAGTCGCATGGCAAGGAACGGCATTGCGATACTGCGCCTTGCGACGTGATTGATCGAATTGCAGGTGGGGTGTGTGTTTGGGGTGCCATTCAGATGAATGGCAGTGCAACGCACCTCCTGCACTGTTAACACATGATATGTGTTGTGTGATGCGTTAATCACACGGAACCATGCGATTATCACCTCGCACCAGTGTGCATAGACCCTGAATATCTGCTGCTGGTTAGCTTCTCCTACAGATTCTCTTGTGTGTTACCTTGTGGGAAGCTGTGATTGTATAGTGTACATTGTACAGGGAGTCTTTGGTAATGGGTCATGTGGGGTCTGGAGTCATTTGGCCGCACTACAATGCTATGGAATGTTTGTGGAAATGACGCTGTAAATATAAATTGGAAGTGCAGAGGAAGGATGTGTCTATATGGGAAATGTAAAGTGTTGCTTACGCTTTGTTTGATAGGTTCAGCTGCCAATGAGATCCCAGTTTAGAAAAAAAAAATTCATCTTCATGTTAATTGCATACCAGTGTTGCGCAGTCCCCTGTGTATTCTGGATTATGGTCAGATTCCCTGTAATCAGTGTATTGTGTCGCTGCTGTACTTGAGAACTTCAGACAAAACAGAGAAAGATTCCTCCCGCTTTCAACTTGGTGCCGCCAGGCTGACATGGCATTAGTCTGCAGACGGGGCTGGGAAGGAGGGAGATGGCTGATACCACATACCATATGACCAGTTTACCAGGAACATTGCAGGATTGTTTTCTTTGCACTGCCAAAATCAATCACACAAAGTAGTTGGTGGGGCTGGGAATCTCCACCAGAAATCTAAAACTGGTAGTAGATGACCTGTTCTGTGTTTTTTAAATGCTCTATTTCTTAAATCAACATTCAGTGCCAGGCATGTATGTGTATATAGAAGGGAAGGGAATCTATCAAAACTGGAGCAGAGGAAATCTGGAGCACTAATATATATATATATATATATATATATACACACACACACACATCTCAGTCTTAGTCGTCTTGGTCCGTAGGGCTCAATATTGAGTTGGCGGCTTCAACTCTTCTGGGAAGGCGTGCACAAGGTTTAGGAGTGTGTCTATTGGAATGTTGGACCGTGTCTATGGGAATGTTGGACCATTTGTGAGGTCAAGTACTGATGTTGGAGGAGAAGGCCTGACTCGCAGTCTCCGCTCTAATTCATCCCATAGGTGTTCTATTGGGTTGAGGTCAGGACTCTGTGCAGGCCAGTCAAGTTCACCAAACTCACTCATCCATGTCTTTATGGACCTTGCTTTGTGCACTAGTGCGCAGTCATGTTGGAGAAGGTAGTGGCCATCCCCAAACTGTTCCCACAACGTTGGGAGCATGAAATTGTCCAAAATGTCTTGGTGTGCTGATGCCTTAAGAGTTCCCTTCACTGGAACTAAGGGGCCAAGCCCAACCCCTGAAAAACAACCCCACACCATAATCCCCCCCCCTCCACCAAACTTTACACTTGGCACAATGCAGTCAGGCAAGTACCGTTCTCCTGGCAACCGCCAAACCCAGACATGTCCATCGGATTGCCAAACAGAAAAGCGTGATTCGTCATTCCAGAGAACACGTCTGATCGGCTCTAGAGTCTAGTGGCGGCGTGCTTTACACCACTGCAGCCGATGCTTTGCATTGTACTTGGCGATGTAAGGCTCGGATGCAGCTGCTCGGCCATGGAAACCCATTCCATGAAGCTCTCTACGCACTGTTGTTGTGCCAATCTGAAGGCCACACGAAGTTTGGCGGTCTGTAGCTATTGGCTCTGCAGACAGTTGGCGACTTCTGCGCACTGTGCGGTTCAGCATGCCCTGACCCCGCTGTGATTTTATGTGGCTGAGTTGCTGTTGTTCCCAGTTGCTTCCACTTTGTTATACCACTAACAGTTGATCAGGGAAAATTTAGTAGCAAGGAAATTTCACGGAAAACCTGAATCCAATGATTTGGAGGGGTGTCCCAATACTTTTATATACATACATACACAGTTTAATAAATGGGCAGTGTCCTCCTCAACCTTCTGTTTCTGTATGTCCATGATGCTTGTTAGTGTTTCTTACTTTGTCTTGCCTAAACGATTATACAGCGCTGCGGAATATGTTGGCACTATATAAATAATTGTAAATACAGACTGGCAGTTAGAGAAGTTGACTTGTCACATAAATTGGAGCTCCAGCCAAAACCTTCTTTGAATATAGAGAGGGGAAGGGTGTCATTTTTATTGCTGTGGATTCCTACTTTCTTCTTGCCCTGTTGGCCACTATCATGGGGACAGGAAATTAGGTAAAATTAAAACATCCTAGTTGCCACTAGAACAGGGGGTGTTTAGTTTCCCATTGGGGACACCTGTTCGGTGATGACTGTAAAAGGCCAACATTTCCTTCCCTTCTCACTTTCTGCTGTGTCACCAGAACAGAAAGTAAGGGGAATCTCCCTAGTGGGGAGACCATGATGAAGAGTCCAGAGGTTTCAACCATCCCCCAAAATTAGGAAAGAGTTTTGTCTAGAGGTCAAAGATTGGACTGTAGGTCTGCTTTGGTGCTTGGTGCAGTCCTCTCACTTGAATTGCTCCCTAGGGCAAGCTTGCTACATTGGGGATCATTGAGTGTGAAGCAGAATACAAATCTGATTAGATTAGTCCAGAAACATGGGATTCAATTGAGCAAAAGGAAAGCAAGCTCATGAGCGCCGGACAGTTAAAATAAAATTGGGCCTTGTGAACACTACTATAATGCCACTTATTACCATCACATTCTCAAACAATTCATCCCCACACAGCTACCTCCTCATGTATCACTAGCCCCTCCCTTTTAGATTGTAAGCCCTCAGGGGCAGGGCCCTCCTTACTATCCTGTCTTGATTTGTATTGTGATTGTAATGTCTTCCTTATATTGTAAAGCGCTGCGCAAGCTGTTGGCGCTATATAAATCCTGTATAATAATAATATTTACCCAGAAATGTGGATCTGAGCAGAACTGTGAAAAATATAACACTAATATCTTTAAATAGATTTTGTAACTGAAAGGAAAATCATTTGACACGTTTATGACGGGTTTGTAGAGAGTATGATACAGTGAAACATTTTTATTTTATCAAATGAAAGTTGAATGAAACGAATTAGTTGTAATTTTGGTTGATGGGAAGCATTCAATACATAAATGCAACCATTAGAATAGAATGCAATGAGAAAATTTATTACAAACTTCTAATCATATTCCAGCCAGCACTGGAACACAACAGTTGAAGCATAATTCATTGGCTGAGTTGTCTGAGACAGTTTGGCAGATACTGAATAATCTGGGTGTTTGAATGGAACCACGGCAGGTCATTGGTGTGATCATGTGCTGGCACTTAGTTGGCTTGGTTGATTTTATTTTTCAGGGAGGTCCAGAAGGCAGTGAACACAGCACAGGGTCTGTTCCAGCGATGGACAGATCTTCTTCAGGATCCTTCGATTGCCACCAGAGAGGAGCTGGACTGGACTACTAATGAACTACGTAACAACCTGAGGAGTGTTGAGTGGGACCTTGAGGACCTCGATGAGACGATTAATATCCTTTATAGTTGGGGGCTTTATGTATAGCTTGCTTTCAACAAGGACTTAAGATGGCTCTATCACTTTAAAAACAAAAGTACTTCTATGAATTAAAAAAGTGCAGGTAGAGAATCCCAATTCTGATCAGAAGTTCCAACTCTTTCTTGTAGTTTGAGGGTTATTCACAAAAGGGTGAAGAGTTTGGGGAAGGCAGGAGAGGTGAACAATCTAGGACAACATAGCTCATTTGGGAAAATTCTCCAATTCAGCTCACTTTCCAGTTCAGCTATGTTGTCCTAGAACCTAGATTGTTCACTTCTCCTGCCTTCTCCAAACTCTTCACCCTTTTGTGAATAACCCTGTTAAAGTTTGCCCACTCCATCCTGTCATGCGCTCATTCAGACCGCCCATCATAGAGATAAGCCAGGAATTGGGGGGGTGTACACACTATGTAGGTTCAAGCAGGGGATGTTGGTCACACCTAGCCTACAGACCTAAAAATATTGGAGTTGATTTAATAAAGGCAAATAGGCTATTCAATTGAATGACTCAGCTGACTTATACCATCGAATCATGTGCAAGCAAAAAAAAAAAATTTTTAAAGTTACATTAAAGTCTAGTCCCCCCCAATGTTAGTGTCAGGATTTACCTTAAAAAATGCCTCTTAATCCAATCTTCTTTCCTGTAGTTTTTAGCTGTCCCTCCATCGCTGGTGCGGGTCTCCGATCCAGCGCTGACTCCTCTGCCCTCTTCTCTCATGTCCCACGGTGTCTGCATGCGGGTGCACGCTGCTCAATAGACTTACCTTGTGTCTCTCCTCGTCTCCCGGCCAAACATCTGAAGTGCGCATGTGCCCGCCCCAAGATCCTTTGCGGCCGCCCGAGAAATTTTCAGATGTTTGGACGGGAGCGCGTGGCGGAAACACAGGTAAGTATTAACCCTTAGAAAAAGATTTTTATTTTAATCGTTTTGCAGCAGTAGAGTCTTGCTAGCAGTAGATATATGCTAAAACATGCAAGGGTTTAATAAGCCTTTAACTTTCCTTGCACATAATTGGGTGTTCTTTGCAAAGTGAATTTTTGCGGCATTCCCTAAGCTAAGGGAACATTTCCTTGCAAAGTGAACAGCCTAATTGCCTTTAGTAAATCATCCCCACTATCTGATTCAGCTGGGTTGTTTTTGTCTACAGCCACCTCCTGGACTTAACTAATTAAAAAAAACACACACCAAAAAAGAAAAATGCCTTTTGTTGTCCATAGCAACCAGTCAAATCCAAATACTGTTATAATGTTTACCTTGGGCAGGCTAGTGAAAACAGATGTCTGACACTTTACTTTCCTCGGCTGAGTTGCCAGTACTCTGTGTACTTTTTCCAGACACTGCACAGACCAAGTATAAATCAAGCTGCAATAATGTTCCATTCACTACTTGAAAACTGTGTACAGAAAAAGTGCCGTAGTCAGTAAATCATGCTTTAAGGCCGCATAAATGGCATTCCCTATCTGTCAAAGCATTGTGCAGTGCATCACAGATGGGTGTAAAGTTGGCAAAACACCAGCAGATCCGGATTTCAGCTTAGCCGCTAAGTGGTCCCTTAGAGTGTATTTCCACTTTTGCATCCATATTGGGAGAACACCTATTTTATATTTGTCGAATGTTCCCATTCACATTGCAGAATGTAAAAAAAAATTAAACATTTCTTCTTCCATTTTTAAATGCTTTAAAGGAGAACTATGAGGTGAGTGCTTTTCACTCGCCTCATAGTTCTAGCCGACCTGTGACAATGAGACTGTCACAGGTCGGCTCAGTAGATCGGGAAGTGAGCGAACACATACCAGTGTTCGCTCACCTCTCGATCCTGACACGGCTCTCTGCCGTTACAGGGGAGGGGCTGGATTCCCCCTCCCCACCCCGATCTACCAGCGCTGACTGGCGGATCGGACAGGGGAGGGGGCGGGTACAGCTTGCGGTATACTGAGCCTAGGGTGACGGGAGGACGCTAGTTTGTGTCCTCCCGTTACCCTAAGGAGAACTATGGGGAAAAGCCTTAACCCCAAAGTTCTCGTTTAAAATTTCTACCTAGCCTCCCCCTATGTATTGTTAGGGAGGGGGCTGTGAAGAAGTTATGTTTGCTTTATTTAACCCCATGTGTACTGTGCTGGCAGATCTCTATCAGTTGTAAACTAGATTTGAACACTGTCCTAACAAAGGGTTAAAGTCTTAGAAGCATTGTATGTTAGTGAGAGGAAGCTCAGTGTGAAAGGGTAGGGGCAAACTGAGAGACAAACTGCTCAGAGTAGCCTGGAATTTGCACAAAGACCTTCACCAAAGAAACAGATTAAGCCCTCATTCACACAAGTAACAGCCGTCCCGTACAGATCCGTGCTGCGTGCACGGCCGTATCGTACCGCTCCCATAAAGTACAGGCGCTGCGTGTGATTATGGGAGTACGCGGACGTGCTCCGCCCCACGCTCACCTGAACTGCACGTCTGTGCGGGTGTCCGTGCTAGTACGCTGACAGGTTGGATCCTGTCTGCGTCCGAGCAGGGACACCCGTATGGACGTGCAGTTCGGGTGAGCATAGGGCGGGGTATGGCCGCGTACTCCCTTAGAGAAGAACGGGCTACTGCGTATAATGACACGCAGCACCTGTCCTTCTCGGGAGCGGCCCGATACGGCCATGCACGCAGAACGGATCTGTACGGACCGGCTGTTACTCGTGTGAATGAGGGCATAAGGTAAGAAATATATTTTAAAAATGATGTTTAGTTGTGCGGTGGTAATGGGAACACTCTCAAACTTGACAAAAGTGGACATACCTTTTAAGGCACAATTTTAGTTTTCAATGAAAGTCACATAAGGTCAGGTTAAATCAAAGGTTAAGTGCTTATTGTATTGTGTGTGGTAAAAAAACTAAACTCACCCAACTCCAGGAAATATGCTCCTCACTGGTCTGACACACCTCCGTGCCTTGTCACAACTGGTACAGTCGGCAAAGAACGTGAGCTTTACTGATTGCTGCACTACAGTTGTGACATGGCAGGGGCTTGTGTCAGAACATTGCGGTGAGACAGATGAACTCTCAGGGCGCTATGGAGTTTAGCTGCAGATAATGCTGGGCTTGGAGGTCTCTGCTATGGGCGCTATGGAGCTTTATTCCCAAAAACAAACATCCTTTTGATGCACCCTAACTTTATATCATCACAGAACAAAAGCTGTTGCTGCAAAGGAAAAACTAAACACCTCTCCTGATCCCTGCACTGGGGAACACTGATCACCCCCAACTCCTGTGCCCCCTACTTTACCCATTGAGCTCAGTGCTTCCTCTGGTAGACGCCTATCAGATGCAACCACTGCTCAGGTACTTAGGCAACAATGGGTGCAATGACTGCTGAATACAATAGCCAGCAGTAGATTCCTCCATCTGCTCTGTTTAGCATGATTGGAGGAAACGTTTGATTTTCTTTCATTCAGCATGGAGGGCTAAACAAGAGCAAATGTTATCAGTGCATGTCTAGCTTTACTCTAGCTAATGATTGGCTGCCAGGGATAAGCACAGTGCAGGCACAGCTAAAGGGATTCCAGGAATGCTTTCTTTTATGAGGGAGCAGAAAACATTTCTCTGTCCTCCCCTATTATTGGTATGTTCTTTTCATACATGCTTTCTGACACCTTGCTGAAGGCATGTGGTATATAGAAAGGATGAATGAGGCTGGGGGCATTAAATCGCATTCTTTTGATGAGCATCATAACATGGAATCTTTTTGTTTCAGAGGTTTTATGACAGTAAGCCAGTCGTGCCATCCTTGTAGCCTTGGCCAGCTCTTGGCGTACAATAGAGCTGAAGCTAAACAGGAGAGTCAATTGTTGCCATTATTTACTACTCTGTTTTTCCTTTATTCTGCTCACGTATTGTTGAATCCAATCCCCGCAAGTTCAGTCTGGATCCAGCAGAGATGAGGCAGAGAAAAGCTTTTATCAGCGAAACCCGGCAGTGTGTCAAGGTGAGAATCACAGCGGGGATCTGTGTGGATGCATAGCCTTGCCCTGTGTGTGGGAAGGCTCCGGGAGAAGGTTATTAAAGTGTAGCCCTTTCCCACAGGTATTTGGTGTCAGCTTAGATCCCACCTGCAAAGTGAACTACGGGGCCCCTGTTCATATTTTCTGATTATTTGTCCCTGGAAAACTGAGATGTCTGTGCAAAAACTAGGCATGGTGCCTGCTCACCATCACCTTTACAAAATCCTTACTGTACAGCAGCAGTTCTTTGGTTATTTGCTCACTATTTACTTTTTTTTTTAGTCAAATATCATTTATAACCTTTTTTCAATTGTATTTCCCCGATTATATTCTATATACAAATTTGTAGATTCCTTTCATGATTTTTTTCCAGGTCCCTATAATATATCGATGTGTTATTTCAAAACGTACAGCGCTAGCCGTCCTTCAGAGGTGCATATAAGAACTCAGACGTTCAGGTCAGGATTTAACAAGTGCTAAAAAATAATTAATAATTAATAAAACATTCAGTGAAGGGGTGTGTCTCAAAATATTGAATGTGAATCGGTTGTGTGAACAAATAAAGTTCATAACACATCAAAACAAACAATGTGTACCATTTGAATAAAATAAAATAAAATTAAACTTTTTTCGATGTATGTGTGAATAGTCCAAATCTTTTGTAGTTTTTTTAAAGTCTTTAGAAATCCATAAATGTAAGACACTTCGAGAGTGTCTTAAAGTAGACTTTTAAAGTTTATTATTCTTATTATTTCCATTAGCGCAAGTTCTTTGCAATTATTATACCCTATAATATATCAACTACTCTGATTAAAGCAACACTATACTGTCCCCTGGAGATTTTGCTATAATGTTCACAAGTATGCATCGTACCTGCACATTTAACCCCTAGTGTGATCTTCTCCAATGATGCAGTGTGTTATCGCCCTGTCCACAGCTGCTGACATCATCTGCTGGTTTTCTCCCAGTACCAAATTCTTAAGGGCCAGTTAACACCAATTCCAGCATGTTCCAGCAGTGTTAGCTGCTGGAATGCACTGGATCGCATACTGTAAGCCTCCCTACGTTCTAGGGCGGGAGGGGGCGTGGCGGTGCATTCAAGTCAATGGCACAGCAGCTAACCATGCTGGAACGAAGTGCAATTGGTGTGAACAGGCCCGTAGGGTCCACCACTGGGCTGCCACAGATAATGTAACTCCTGTGCATCAGGTACGTGCGGTCAGGGGAGGCAGAGCCTCACCTAGTATTATGGAGCTTTTTCTCCATTCAGATTGGCTTCTATCAGGTTACAAGGCAGGGAAATCTTCCCCGCTGTGTAACCTGTCATGAATGGAGCGCTGCCTGTTAATTACACAGTTAGGTTACGCAGCAGCCGGCTTCCCCACGGCTTGTGTAACCTAACTAGTGAGGCAAGAGCTGTCACAGCCTCTACTTTGTGTTAAAGGCGTGAGCTCTGTGAATGGTTTGGACCAATGGCAAAGCGCCATTGGTCCAAGCTGTCCAATCAAAAAAAGAGTAAATAAAAACCACTGAGGCCATCGATTTTCAATGCCTCAGCAGTGATGAGCATGGGAGGCTCCTCCCTGTCTCCTCCCTCAAACTAGGTTGGGGGCGGGGCTTTAGCGGGCTGGGGAATGCCTCACCCAAATCCGAAGGTACCGCACGTGACTGCTATGTATGTCTGTTACATTGTCTTTGCACCCAGCTTCATTCTCTGCATCTTACAGATGCAAAGAGTTTACCCTGCATGGACATGTACGAAGAATAAGCTGTTGGGAGCAAGGAGAAGACATTTTTTGGCAGAGGTGACTTTGCATAAAATTCTAAAGTCCGATGGATATCCCACCGCACTCCTTACCAGTCTGCCCCCTGGAAGTGGGTGCTGAAGTGGCTGGGGATGGCATTGCTTAAATCCAAACAGATGAGATGCCATGTCACCAGCAGACCGGAATGAAACTGTTCAACGAATGTCTTTATTGACGCATGCACATCATGTCACAAAGTAAGTGTTTCAGGGTCACTATGGGTCCCTTCAACTGGCTCATTACGAGCTACACATAGTAGAACCCCCGAAACGTTGCTTTCTTTGTGGCATGATTTGCATGCATCAATATAGACTTTTGTTTAACAGTTTCATTCCAGTGTGCTGGTGACATATCTCATCTGTTTGCATAACATTCCTAGCAATTCTTATCAAGGGGCTTTAGTCTCTACTGAAATTAAAAAGAAGGCTTAATATTGTTTTCAATCAGTCAGACCTGACTGGTAGCCTTGCATAAAAACTTGAATATCGCTGTCACTATGCAGCCCTCTGTGTCAGTAAGCACACCCTGCATATTTTATGACCATATATGGCTATCCAGATGAAGGTACATACAGTAACATGGATACTGTAAATGCCATTTAAAAAAAAAAAAGTTAGCTTTTGTAAATGTGGGACAAGTCAGGAATTTGTTCATAGAGATTTGTAAAGTCACTTAATGGAGCAAGATCCACATTAAAAACGGACAAAAGTAGCAACTTTTCCCTGTTTGATTTTAAAATTAACAAAGGTTTTGGTTGAAATTGGACTTCAGGACTCGTTCACACCAGCCTTGTGGGCTAGCATTGCACAACACAGTCGCACGCATCCCATTTGCATCATGTCTTGTTGCCTCGGTTCACACCAATGCTGCGTTGTTGCGCACTGAGATAAATCGGGCATGTTGCATTGTTTGTAGAGTGTAAAGTAAAAAAAAAAAGGGGGAAAAAACAAACACTGTGCTGCTTTTTAAAAACGCAACACAAAGCATATTGTGCGCACGTTAACGCTCGCCTGCTGGTGTGAATGAGCCCTGAAGTACTACCGTGCAGAAATGCGTAAGAAGAGCTTGTGCTTTTGGCACGGTTCACACCTGGGCGTTTTGTAGCACGTTCCTACGCTCTGCAAAACGCTCAAACACCGAAATCCCATTATTTCCTATGGGTATGGTTCACACCTGGGCGTATTACAGGCCGTATGAACGTGCTACAATACGCCCAAAGTAGTACAGGAGCTTCTTTTGGGGCGTATTTGCCGCGCGTATCCATTGGGATACAGCCAGGTAGCCCTCGGAAACACGCGTTTGCCCTCGGAAACACGGTCAAGACGCGCGACAAACGCGCATATTCGATACGCCTAGGTATGAACCCATCCTTAATGTCTGTCCATTTAAACCGAATCATTCTGTGAACTCCAGGCCAGGTGCTAATGGTTTCATTTTAGAATTAACACCCGAGGTGAAAATCTGTTTGATACGTGTTACTAACATGTGCACCTTAGCGTCACTTTTTCTGCTGTCTTATTCAATAAGCATATTTTTGTTGTCTCAAGCAGAATCTGCTTTAGATTTTCACTTTCCAAAATCTGATGGTCCATTGATTTAGATTTCAAACCATAACTGACAAAGGTAATTTCTGTATTCCCACACAGGAAATGAAGGATCAAATGACTAGTCCATCTGTTCAGGCCTTAGCTGAAAAGAAAAACCGGCAGGTGAGCGAGCTGGCTCTTTCTCGCAGCTGTTTGAGTGTGTGTGACGTGTCAGTCTCCTTGGTGAGCGGTACGAGGTCATACTGTGGAGGGAGTGTATGTGCGTGCATCATTTACTTTGCTCTCAGGTTACTAGACTTATTGTCTGTACTGTGGCAGCCAAATAATGCCAGACCTGCTCTGAGGTGGAGACAGTTCTGTTGTAGATGTCGAGCTTTCGTCACATCTATAGGTCTTCTCATACATCATCTCATTGTGAACAGGTCCAGCGAGAAGAAAGGTGGAGAAAGGCAGAGTCCATGCAAATATAAAAAAATAAAAACCTTTTAGTCCAGTGACAAATTCAGTCTAGAATCACTAGATATATTTGTAAAGAGACCTTGTCCCTGGATTTTTCTTCTGTCTGTTGTGCTAAAATGACTTAAAGCGGACCTTTACCCTCAACAACAAATAAATAACAACAAACAAACCTTTAGAAATGTTTAGTAATGACAATCTACAAACACATACTTCTAGATAATAAGAGGCTTTGTATTCTTTGCATACCTTATTTCTCTTTTCTTCCCCAGTCTTCTGACAGTGGCCATGTTTACTAAGGGCAGATTACTAGCTCTCCTTTTACTTCCTGGATTTCTGGCACATGTGACTAGACATGTGATCATCTCAGGGGAGCAAAATGCCTTTCACTGAGTTGAGATTTCTCAGCAATGCTCTGCTGATGACCAGGCAATCCCAGTGTACATTGCTTTGGAAAACTGAAGTCATTTTGCCCTTTCAAAGCAGGAAGTGAGTGCTCTGTAAATATTTTACAATCACAGCATTTTACACCTGACATGTCTGTTAGTATTAATCATCACATATAGAGGGATGCATTGGTAGAATTTGATTTTTGAGTGTGACGGTCCGCTTTAAATAAATTATTTACCTTAGTAGTACCTGGTAGGCCTCTCCTCATCCTCCAAAAATGTGAGCACTGCAGGATACCACCATCTTGTTTTTATCATCAGTGGTGTCCTCCTGACAGAGTGCAGTCACAACAGTGATCATGAATCAGGGACCAGGTGACTGCTCCTGGTGTACAGAAACGTGGGAGTTGTCTGTCTCCTCGGCAGGAGAAGCGAGCCTCGGCCTCAGCTCTAGTACTGAATTCTTACGAGGCTCTACAGGGAACTACATGCAGAGACAGAAGCTGTACCAGTAGGGAGTTGGAACTTGAATAAAAGAGCCTTAAAAGGATTCTGACACTGCTGGAAGTGTCAGAAGACCATCAGCATTACCGTGCCTATATCTGCAATGCTACAAGCTGTAGTTGCAAATTACATATTAACTGATAGGTACGTTTGTCTGAGAAACTCAGATGTGGTGACAGAGACTCTTTAAAATTGGGACACCATTGGATCGAATGGGGGAAGGGTAAAACCTTATTGGTTTTGATTGCTCCCCCCCTACCCCCCCCATTTCTTGCCATACAGTGATGGTCACCAAAACTTTAGGGAAAGTCTCCCACTGGGAACACTTTGGGGAGAGTTCCTCTCACTTAATCTGTTGTCTCAGGAGCAATGTGTGTGCATGAGTACTCAGACTGAAGATCAGTACTGGATTTCATCAGCCATTAGGACATTAGACCTGGTAGACCCATCCAGTGTGGGTTTTTTTTTACAGTTCTTGGTACAGAAAAAAATAAATAAATGCCTACAGATTTTATTTGAAAAATGTATGTAATAAATGTATTTAAAGTGCCCTTATCCATATCCTTTTAAGTGAACCTGTACTGTACTTGCCTTCGTAGACAAAGTATCAGGTTCACTTTATAGCAGGTGGGGTTAACACCCTGTTCTTACATGTTTTACTCTAAGAAAAAAAAAATTTTTTGTTTTCACTACTGTTACAGTAAGGCTGCCTAACCTGCCATGCATAGCTCAGCCTTCAGAAGATTTGTCCATAAATGTGTTTAGCCCAATCTGCCAGTTCATGAGATCTGCAGTCAAGCCAATGCCCCTGGGTTATTCTGATGATAGTAGAAAGAGGAGTATGTTGCAAAACCTGCAAAACCATTTAGTACATAGGACCAGAACAAAAGCCAGTGAAGTTCAACCTGTTCTAATAGCATTGTAACCCTGATCATATCATATAGGAGAAGGCAACGCTAACCCTTATGAGACAGCTGCCAATTTTTACTCACATTAGGGAAACAAATTACTCCCTGACCCTTTTTCTCACTGATTTGCTTACATAGGCTTCTAACTTTTATCATAAGGATGCATGAACTTACTAAGATTCAGGAATACGAGATTGTTCTGTTGCAGACACTAATCGTTTATATTGTGAATTTTTCAGGCACTTTTAGGAGAAGGGACACGACAGGGCTGGAACAGTGAACCAGACAAGTATAAAGGGCTGGACCAGGACATCCAATCAGCAAATTCACAATTTTTAGATGGACAGGTTTCACAGCAACAGGTAAGATGTACGCGATACATGGAGAGTGTGGCAAGCATAGTGTCATATTTTTCCAGGGGGTTAAAGTATATGTCAGGGCAAAATAAAAAGATGCAGTACAATGCATGCACATTCACATTTTCCCATGTGTTGTCCCTTTAGAAACGCTGCAAGTACAGAAACATTTTATACCACAATAGTCTCTTATACAACAGGGGTGAAGAGATGAGAGCATGGCACCACACCCCTACCAATTACAGTATAACAACATATAACAACAAATGGTGCTTTTTAGGTGCCAAACACGTTTTACAAACTCATATAGAAATAAAATGAGCGTTTATTATTATTCAAAGCAAAGCCCAGCAAATTACCTGTATGGATAATATATAACTTAATCACCTTGAACCAAAACTGGTTACCCTCAATTTCACCCCCATAGAAATCTCCATAATTATGGGCATGTGATTCTTACCATCTAACTGGTCTTGACCCTGTGACACATGTAAATAAGGTCTCAGTTGTGCATATATTCCAACCTTGTCACTGGCTGGGATAGCTTAATAAGCCTAAACCAACAAACCAGAATATTGGGGCTGTTTAAATAAGTAATGGTCGGGCACTGCACATAATCCAACAAAATGATACATTTACTTTGCTGATTTGCTGGGCTTTGCTTTGATCTCCCCGGAGGGCCCTCATTTGGGCACTGTGCGCATCTTCCCTCGTTTCCTTCCTTTGCCTTCCTCTTCTTTCCGCCTTCCCCTTCTCCCTCTCCGCTCCCGCCTGTTGCAGATGCCGGACGTTGCGGTGTGTCCACAGACTGTCAGGTATGTATGCTAAGGAGATGATTAAGATATATCTGGACAATGATCAATGTTTGCATGGTTTGTATCTTTTGATGTGGTGCATGGCTATATTATGTAACTGTCCATTTGTGGATTCAGAGGGCTCCTGAAGAAGCAATATTTTGCAAAATGCTTTGAGTCTTTACGTCAAGATTGTATTACTCTTGGTATTCATAGTACCCTATGTACATGAAATCTTCATGATGCAATATGATCAAAATGTAATAAGGTGGACACGTGTACTATTGATTTTAAGTATAGCAATGTACCTGTTATTCCTGAAAGAAATGTACTCCTGTTTGTGGCTAAATAAATATGCAAGGAATGGTGTCAGCCCTGCTCTGTTATCTCCTAACTACAGAATACCTCCCCGTCTTCTCTACTTCACAACATTATGTGTGTGTGTGTGGGGGTTGAAGTCGAAGGAAGTGAGTTAGGCAGAGCTCATTAGACTCTTTGAGATAACACGGGCAGGGTAAACAGAACACAAGACAGAAACTGAATTTCTGATGGAATCAAAAGGTATTTTCCTTTACTGTTCAAACAAAACTCTATCAATGATATATTTAACAGACCAAAATGGAGCAAATAAGAGTATTGTTGGGATGTAAAACTGAGAAGTCTCACATGAGTGATACCCTGATGTACTAAGTGCATGGTGAGATCCATCCAGAGCAATCCAGAATTCGCTTGATATGCACAATTTCTTACCTGTGATTGGGGTATGTCAGGAAGCACTGGTTATCTCCCATCATCCTTCTAAAGATTAGACGGAAATGACTAGTGATGCCAATGGCAATCTTTTGAACATTGTGATTTCAAATATCCACCTGTATGAAACTTAAAGGGGTTGTCCGCATTCTAGAAAATGGTAGCCCCTCATTCCGATCCCTCCACCCACAAACACGATACTGGCATCAAATCAACGGCAATAAAAACAAAACTTTAAGTGAAATATAGAGACCCTCCATCATCTTAAAAAATAATATTTGGATCTGAAAGCGAGGAAATCCATGTTATCTTTACATTGCTATGACAAGAAAAATAGACGAGGAGAGAAGGGCTCACAGTTTAACACTTCATTATCACTGGACATGTGGCTTCAAGTGTGTGCTGCCCAGACCAAGGACATCCTCTGTGTTTTTCCTATAGAAAGTGAGCAGGAAGGACATAAGTCTCTTGCACCACTGGGTTAATGAATGCTTAAAAGCATGGTGTCGGGAAGAGTGAATGGTTTTGTATCACGCAGTGTAAATACACCTCTATTCTGCAGATTACCTCTCCTGTGGAGTGCCTGTGATGAATGCATTGTGAAATGGGCACTGGGCTAAATACACAACTCCGTCCAGATCATAATGATCATATTCGGATTGCCTGCAATTTCATAGTTCCAGATGTCTGCAGCGCTACAATCAGGATTACATTTTATTGTTTCTCTTTTGTAATATTTTAAGCTCTGCAGAGGATGCCAACCCATATATTTGTCATACTTGGCCTTTTGATTGTTTGAAGCACGTACCTTGAGAGATGCATTGCTTTAGTCATCAGTAGAAAGGAATATTTTTAGTGTTTCTTTCCACAAGCACCAGGGCAAATAATACATGATTGGAGTACTTTTCACCCTAAAGGAAACCATCCTGTTGCAAAGTCATACAACGTGACCGTACTTCCAGATTTCAAGCATCTTTGTTTGGCACGCAAAAAAATGATAGGTTAACAAAGATGCTTGAAATCTGGAAGTACGGTCACGTTGTATGACTGGATGGTTCTATACAGTGTCTGACTCTGGAGGCACACTGTATAGAGGGCCTCGACTTCTGCCACAGCGCTGAGCCAAGGTATCACCGCTCTCTTCATTTAACAAACTAAAACAACACATCCTGTAAGCCAGACGTAGCCTAAGTAAGTCTGAGCAGATGTCAAGGATCTCTGTTTGGCATGCATACCTGGGTTTAGAGAAAAACATGTAACGATTCATGAACTGTTAGATTTTCATACTTTTATTAGCTGACAGGTTCACTTTAAAGGCTTTCTAAACCCGCCTCTCTCAACCTTTGTACCCCTGAGGAACACTTGAAAACAGTTTTAGGTCTTGGACAGCCTCTGCTAAAACCAATTCATTGGGGATCAGTGGGAAACATGTCCCTTGTTATTGGTTATCAGTAGAAGAATGTCACCTTACCGATAGTTAAAATGATCATTGGTGTCATGCCGCCGACTCTGCCATGTGTTGTTGGCCCGGGAACTATACAGGCAATATCATAGGTGTGGTCAATCAGCCGCAGCTCAAGGCACCCCTAGAAACCTCTGGAGGAACCCTAGGATTCCACAGAACCTTGGTTGAGAATGGCTGACCTAAACAGACCTGCAATGGAGCATGATTGGTGGTTATAAATCTGCTGGTGGTTTGGATCTGTGAAACCCTAAGCCACTGCCAATGTTATTTTGAGTTATGTGTACAGTAAGAGGAAAGGGAAATATTTTCCAGCATGGAAAATCTTTGTACCTATGAGGCTTGCAAGTGCTCATTTTGTCCAGAGTGTTCCAACACATACGTCAGTGTGACTGTGCTGGTTTTGTCATCTCTTACTTTCCATTAGATGATCATGGAACAGCAGGACGAGGAATTGGAGCTGGTGTCTGGGAGTATTGGAGTGCTGAAGAATATGTCACATCGCATTGGCAATGAGCTGGATGAACAAGCTGTGTGAGTGTCTAAATACCTAGAAGTGTTAAAGTCCTGCCTTGTTAGAGGCAGCAGAAAATAATGGAAACCATTTTCGTTATTTTATATACTTATTTTTACATTTCTTTTTGGCTAAACCTGCTGTTTTCACATTAAAGGCATTATTGGTACCCACCAATTATACATAAAGAGGCTCTTAAAGTGACATTAGTCAAAAAATGTTTTCCCTCCCCCAATGTTAATTTTAGCACTTACCTTAAATGATGTCTCTTAATCCGATCTTCCTCTTCTTTCCTGATGTTTTCATCTGTCCCTCCAGCGCTGCTGCGGGTCTCTGATCCAGCGCTGACTCCTCTGTCCTTGCTGTCTCTCCTCGTCTACCGGCCGAAAATGTGAACTACGCATGCGCCCGCCCCAAGATGCTTTGCGGCCGCCTGAGAATTTTCACATTTTCGGACGGGAGCGCGCAGGGAAGACACAAGTAAGTATTAACCCTTTTAGAGCGTTTTTTTTTTTCTTTTTACACTTTTTGCATATATCTACTGCTTGCTAGCAGTAGATATATGCAAAAAATACGGAGGGTTTAATTATCCTTTAAGATAACGGTACACATTGCAATCTGAATGTACAATGTCCTTTTAGTATGTAGTGCAAGAGCCTGACTGATTGGATAGATTAGTAATTTGTAGTGTGTACGGTGAGCTTTAGTTACATTAATTTAAATTTGTTAACGTCCCCTTATGTGTTTCACTTTGTATTTAATGTGTGGTGGTGGGCAACATATGTAAGTTATCGGCCGTTAGGTTGGTAAAATGCTGACTTTAATGGAATTATATGGAAATATGTTAGATATATGTAGCAAAGTACATCACAGTATTTAATTGTTGAGTATAATGCAACTGCAATTCTATTAAAATCTCCAAATAAAAACATTTGTCATTTATCCTCTCTCTAGGATGCTGGATGACTTTTCACATGAACTGGACACAACACAGTCTCGTATGGACAATGTCTTGAAGAAACTGGCAAAGGTGTCTCACATGACAAGTGGTGAGTTAGACATGTCTGCTCAGTGTTCTCCTTGCTGGAAAGGAAGCAGCACTGCATTGATCTCCTTCTTTCATTCTGTGGATATGGGCCCTCACCTGCTCCTTAATGAATATTAGATCACCAATTCATTAAGAGGGGAGCTCTGCCATGAGGAAGCAAAGCCCTGCTCTTTTACCAAGATGGCCACCTTCACACAGACACAGTGCATAACAAGGGATGGTATGTTGGTAGTGGGGAAAAGATCAGCTGCATGGAGACCACGGGCAATACTGGAGACTAGTGTTTTTCCCCCACATGCCTTTTTTAGGTACAACTTCCACTATACAGTGCAACCCAGGAGGCATTTTAAGGAATGTGTTTGCCCATTACATGCGATAGAACAGATGCCAGCTGTGAACTTTTACACCACTTGATACATGACCCCTACAAATTGCCTGGTCCTAAACAAAGCCCTTTTACACACAGGCACTGACATAGGGAGCTGGTGTACATTTTTATGGTAAACCTGAGATTACTGCAGAGTCTTCAAACTGTCCACCGGCATGGTATCTAGAGGTGCTGAAATATTCCACTGTGGAAGCTGCAAAGCACAGCAGGAGTCCTGAAATCACTCAATCATACTTTTGGTCAGCCAGACATCTTGTGACACTATGGAACCAGTAATAAGGTTTTAGGGCCTGTTCACACCACAAACTCTGTGTTCTAGTTCATTTGGCCTTTGGAACGCAAGCCGGCCGGTTCCTTGCGTTCAGGGTCGGGAGGGGGCAAGGCGGTGCATTGAAGTCAATGGCACCGCATCCACGCCACCCACTCGCAGTGCGGTCGCACGCACACGGAACGCAGACACATTACGCAGTACATTCTGCAAAAATATTGCAAGCACTATTTTTGCTGAACACAGCAGTGCGTTCCAGAGGCTGAACGCACTGGAACGCGGAGTTGTGGTGTGAACCGGCCCTTAGGGGAAAGACAGGGCCCTTCTTGCTTTAGCTCCTGAAACATTAAGTGCCTACTATTAAGGTCCCTGGACAGTAAAAAGTAACTAAAGGCAAAATTTCCTTTTTTTTTTTTCCTTTTGGGATAGGGGTTAGAATCACTGTGTGGCTTTTGTCCCTAGGCATGAAAGTGAGGGTGAATCCAAAATTTGTTGCCACCAGAACACAAGTTGATGTGAACGTTTCCAATGGGGACACTTGTTACCCTCTTAGACAGTTGTAATGGGATCTCCCTCACATTGGAAAGATCCTTTTAATTCCTGTGGAGTCCACAAGACAGGAAGTAAAGGGCAATCTCCCTAATGAGACACTGTTGGTGAAAACATAACTGACAGTAGTATTAACCCTCCTTTACTCTATCCAGAATGGAAAAAAAAAGGTTTTGCCTTTTTAGATATATTTTGCTTTTCTTTGCACAAGACGTTTAAGCCAAACGGCAAAATATATGGAAGTGTCTGGCTGTGTCGTTGATTGAATAATGAGAGAGCTCAAGTGTGCTTGAAACCATAGGTTTTAAATTGACTTAGGCATCTATAGCCTGTGTATACTAGGTGTAAGGCCACAAGTGTTCCCACACAGATTTCTTGGCCTACTGGGTAAAGATCAGCCTGTTAAGGGCTATGGCAAGTACCTCTATTAGTCCAAAATGCTTGTTATTGCATGCAGAGATTTCCCATGTCTGTGGGAGTGGACCTATCTTTCCATTGTCTCAGTAAGAAGAGTGGAAAAAGAACTGGCCTATGCGGGTTCAGTTGGCCAAATTGCAGGATGGAGTGTTGTGGGTCCCAGGGATTTTGAGGATGGCCAGATGTCTCCCCACCTGTTCTCAGGAAGACATCTGTCTGTCCATGGCAAGCCTAGGGCTAGAACTGTATAATGCAGAGAAAGTCGGCCATGTGTAGCAGCTCAGCTTCTGATATATTTCATATTCTGTGCAGCTAGTTTATGTATTCTGTGCTAGAATTCAGGACTTGTACCTGCCATAATAATGAAGGACAACAAAGTTGGGGTGTAGTACAAAGTTAGGATCACACCTTTCATGATAAAAGGCAGTAATAATGTCCCCCATCTTTCAGTGTTGAGTGTGGTTGAGTATTGGCAATAACGTTATAGGAATGACAGAGGGTATTCAAGAAAAGTGACAGGTTCTCTTGCGAAAAGAACCACCCTTTCATTCCGCACACTCCATGCTCTGCCACCACTTTGATGCTTCACCGGAGCCCTCTGTAAACTGCAGCCAATCGCCAGGCCTGAACACTATCATGACACGAAGCTCCCAGCTGCAGGGGAAGATAATGATAATTAGGGGAAGATAATGATCACTGGGCTGGGGTTCTTCTTGCAAGAGAAGCTTCTGCTTTTGAAGAAGTTCTGTAATTTCAGTTTCATGCGTTGCACTTTATTAACACTGTTGTGCTCTGTCTGTAGATCGGCGGCAGTGGTGCGCCATCATTGTGCTTTTTGCTCTGCTGCTCGTGGTTTTGATTCTGTTCTTCGCTCTGTGACCTGCAAGAAAGTTCCTCCCATTGGAATTCCCACAATGCATTTTACAGTATCACAATGAACTAAGGTGTATGAATGTGTGATTGGCATGACAAATGAGCATTCGTGATTTTTGAAACCAAGTGACTGCAAGCCACCGCATCCTCTTCAGGAAGCACAGGACTCCAAGGCGTCCCCTGATTATTTTTTATTGGGCACTTGCTACAACGTGCAGAGTGCCCGACATTTTCCTGCTTTTATCCTGAACGGTTTACACACTGGATTACTGCTGCCTGTGTTCTGTGTTCCTGCCTCATCTTCCTGTCCAAAGGAAACACGTCTGAGCTTGCCTGTCTCCCGGAACATAAGCAAAGGAGAAACCATGGGCCTGTGGCTGCGGGGTGTGTGCTATTTTTCAAAAGGGGAGATTTAAACCACATGTGACCTGACGGTACTGCAGAGCCTGCTTGGCTAGGAACCATTTGCATCTGGAATAAATTACAGGCCTGCGTCAGCTTCCGGCAGAATCTAACCTGGACACGGTCTCAAGATCTGTGTAGCCCTAGTACCATTGCGGTCGGCGGCTTTATTTTTGTAAGACCGTATGCTACGTTATATAACAATGCCCCCATTCATTCTGACACTACACGTAGTACGTCCGCGGTGAGAGGTCCTCATCTGCTGAACAAGATGCCTTTCTGTGAGTCAGAGATGCAGAAACAAAGGCTCTGTCTACAGAATGGGAACCAGTATACCACGGCATTAGAAATCTGGCAGATTTGATACTGAAGATTGATGTTTTTTTGTCTCTGGATATTTTCATTAGTATGACAAGGATGCTTCACATCTGGAATATAGCTGCATAGGGAGTAACAATGAGTGAGATTACGGTTTTATCAACGGTATTATGAAGACTTGATAATAGGACTGATTCTGTGTGCACTCTACTGATTTTATTTTTATATCTGTTATATTGATCGGCAGGCTGTGTTCTCTTA